CGCAGCCCGGGCTCCTGCCTGGCAGCAGCTACCCAGAGCCGGGGCTGGCTGCAGCCAGGAGGCTCCAAACAGCTGTGCTAGGCTCCAGCATCAGCTCTGTACCGGCGCCTGCACCCGCATGTTGGAGTGGACGGTGGGGGAGGGGGCTTGAGGCAGTGCAGCCCTGGTCTCCCCCGCTCCCGGCACAGAGGTGATAGTGGGGTTTCGGAGCCCGGCGCAGCTGTTTGTAGCCAGCCTGGGCTCTGGGCAGCGGCAGCAAGCAGCGGTCAGGCTGCAAACAGCTGCGCCGGGCTCCATAGCACCAGCATCCACTCTGTGCTGCCTCTTGGCTGCAGCCGCCCTGGCTCTGGGTAGCTGCTGCCAGCCGGGATCCTGGGCTGCTCCCAGCAGGCAGCTGAGACGCTGCAAGCCCTGCTGGGAGCAGCCCGAGCTCCGTTGCTGGCAGCCGCTACTGGGGCTGGCCGTGGCGTGCCGAGCAAAATGGCCTTGTGTGCCATGCTCAGCACGTGTGCCGAGGGTTGCCGACCCCTGATTTAGTGGGTGAAAGTTAGGTTCAGCAACTTTGAATGGGAACTGAAACTTTCTCAAAAAAATCATTTGATGATAACATGGGCCGGAAGAACATTAGCTCATTTTTTCCAAAGAGGTTCAAATGTTTGTATTAACTGTAATAAAAAGTAGTAAAAACTTCTTTAAGAAAAATGTATTGAGACTCAATATATACCTTGGAAGCGGATCTGGGTGTTTGAAGGTGCCATTTTTCAGAAGTCACTCTTCAGATTGGGCTCCCACTTTTAAGATACTGATGTCAAAGTAGGTCAAGTTTTATGATTAGAAACCAAGAAAGTGGCCCTTCTGAAAAGTCAAGAGGGTCACTGCATATCAAACATGCTTTTTTAAGGAATTCAAAACCTTTAACATGTTATACAGCAAAGATATGTCTTTGTTTAAATATGCTACGATTCTTTTAAACAATTTTTTTGATAGTATAATCTCTTTTTGTAATACACATAAAACTCAGTTATTCTGCAAATGAGAACAGACTAAATTCTGTGGCAAGATTCTAGCTATGTACAATCATAACTATAAGCAACTGTAGGGACTTGTTTGCTTGTTTGGGCACTAGATATCTTTTCACCTGAGATGTATGGGGAGGGAACTTTCATGATCAAGGTTTTCTAAATTTGTGACTTATTTTCCTGTTTTGATTGAATAGCATGAATAAAACTTCCCAGATATAGACTGATTTGAAACTCTAGCACTTCCACAAAGGAATTGTATTATTGTTGTCTTTCCTACTCTACTGAGAGAGTCAGGGGGTATGAGGGGCTAGAGGAGAGAGAGAGTTAATAGAGAGAGCATAAGCTAATACATTAAAAACTAAGCTTGGAAATATTGCTGCTCATGGAGTGTACTAGCTAAGGAGGACTTGGTGAGATATGGGGGTAGTGTGTCTGAGGAAGTTCCCTTTCATATTTTAGATGGGGTTGGGGTTGCAGGTGCTAATCGGTTAGGAAGATGATATCCATCATAAACATACAGTTATAGGGGTTGTGCTAATCAAAGGGCTAAACCGTAGCAGCATAAGGAATTTATACACTTTGCTGAATTTCTGAAATTAATCAAAATAAAAGCTGTGGCATATATAACATATGAAAACTCAGAATTTTTCTTATTTAACTGACAAGAAAAATTATGAACAATATTGGAGAAGCTTAGTAAGAGGAAAGTTATATAAATAATGTTAATTCTGTTACTTCATCAATTTGTGATTAAAGAGTAGTTTTTCCTGTGTTGTACTTTTTTGTCAGAAGGTTGAAAGATTCTTGTTTTCAAAATAGTGGGTTGCAGTAGAATGTATGCAACTCAGGATGGGACAAAGGTCTGGCTGCATTGGGTTTTGGGAATCTCTTCACTTTTGGGATTTATCCCCAGGATGTCACTGTTTTTTGGTTCAGATGTGAACCCAAGAACACAAAGCAAGTTAGCCAAACCATTAATTTTCTTGGTCTGGAGATAACTTCAGAGCCACAATGCTTTTCATGGTTCTCACTCAAAACTCAGTGAGTTTGCTCCAAACTGAGTAAGGTTTGTAAAAAGGTTAGTAAATTTCAGCTAGCTTTGTATGCATTTTTGGGCTTGCTGCAAAACTTGAATCCAAGCATGTGCTGTTTCAGTTTGGAATTGATTATGATACAGGAAGTTAGAGACCATGCTAATGAACACTAATAAAAAAAAAATCAAGCATCTTCAGGTGCATCTACACATGCAATTAGCATGCAGAAATAAACTCCGGTGTAGTTTGTGCCAGAGTTTATTTTTTCTGGGTGCCATGTTTACACATGCACCCAGGACTGCAGCGTGTTACAGCGGGGCAGAGCAGCCCCAGGATGGCAAAAGGCCCTGGTGGTCACCCTGCCAGCTTGGGGCTGCTCCATCCCAGATCGGTGTACTGCAAAGAGGCTGGCTAAAGCAAGAGGGTGCTATAGTACAGGGCTAGCCAGCAGGCAGACCCCGCACTGTAGCATCCTTGTGCCCCAGTCACCATCTACGTGTGTTTTCAGCCTACTAAATGACTCCACCATAGGACAGTACGTGTCCCAGACAGTACTGTCTTCTAACAGAGTTAGTTAATTTACTATGCGCTAATACGGGCGCACATGTAGACAGTAACACTTCACTGCAGAGCTAATAAGACAACTCTGTGGTAAAGTGCACTTGTAGATGCACACTTAGAGTAGCATGTAAAATCACATACATAAAGGAAAAATGAAAAATCTATAAAAGTGGCTTTTAATGATTAATAAAGGATTTTTCTTCTAAACTTTATTATTTTGTAAGTTGGCTGACTAAGCAACAGTTGTGTAAATTCACTGCTTGCTGCAGTCACCACTAACTTGTTTTCCTGATAATTCTCTTCAAAGAATATTTTTTTTATGTATAATTTCCTTCCTCCAAGAGTGCTTCCTTTTTTGGAAAGGTATTGCTAAATTGGAAATGTATTTTTCAAGGTGCAAAGAATTATATTTTAGGTTACTTGTCTTTACGTGCATGAGTGTTCCTCATAACTTGAATGTTCTGTGTTTTTCTGTTACATCCAGGGACTGTACCTGAAAGTTCATACTTTCTTAGAATTTTTCTACAAATGCTTCTGTGCATTTATAGAATGAATTCTTGGATACACTTTAAATGTGTGTTTGTTCTGAGGGTTTGTTTAATTTTTTTCAGGTTCGGAGAGAATACAGGAAATTCTTCAGAGCCAGTGCTGGAAGAAAAATTTCTGAATTTATACTTCAGAAAATTGTACGTGTGCACACTTATACATATTTTAAAAGCTTGTTTTCTACCACAGTACAAGTATAGCTACATGAAATTTTAGCAGTCTTTGCAAGGCATGATCAAATTGTGTAAGTGGCAGCTTGAAAGCTTAAACATTTGTGTGCTGTAAAGAAGGAGAGGTAATGAGTTTTAAAGCTATGAGAACGCTCAGCAAATGCCATTAATCAGCTCTAACCCCTGCCTCACTGGGATTTTTAAGTACATTTAGCTTTCCAAATTCATGAGCAGGTTTTAATAAAGTTGGAAATTGCAGTTAAATGATGATACATTTCACCAGACGTCAGCGTCTTCCTTGTTTTAGTAACTCTAATGGGAGGAATTAATTAAATGACTTGCTTTCAAATTTATCACAGATACAAAAATACTTCTTGGAAATGAAGAATAAGATGCCTTCTCTGTCACCAGTAGACAAAAACTGGCCAGCAAGGCCTTACCTCTTCTTGGATTCAACTCACAATGAGCTAAAGAGGATCTTCCACTTATGGAGGGTAGGGAATGTTTTAGTTGAGATTATATAAAATTTGGTTGTGGATTAGAAAGTTTGTTCATGGGCAGTGCATTTTTAGGAAGGATTTCTTCCAGTTTTTGCCAGAATGGTTCTGCTTCACACAAACTTTTTCCTTTAAATCATTCCACTTGGCCTTCAAGGTAAACTGTAGCCTTACATAGGCTAGAAGAGGAAAATGAAGTATTTTGTCTTCCATCTGCCATTACTTTAATCATGTTAATGCATATTCTGCCTATTACTTAGATTAAGGTTTACAATAATCTTAATATTCATGGACAGGAAAGGCACTGCCTATTAATCCATCACTACAAGTAATCAACAGAAATTTTTGCATATGAACTGTGGTTAGCAGAAATTTTGTTTTGGACCTTTTCATGGAGTAATAGGTAAGAACTTATTTCAGGGCTGTAGAGACACTTATTGCTGGTCATTCAGCAACTGTGGTCTCATTACAGCTGTGTTTTCTGCAAATTGTCATGGGCAGAATTCTCTGAATGTAATTTTTTTTAAATACTTTTCAGATTTACCAAAAATGACAAAAAAATTCAAACTTTCTTCAACCACACTTTGTTCTATGCATATGTTCCATATGTATTTGATTTTATTTGATTATATTTTAAATTTGATTTCTGAAAATTGTGTTAATGTTGGAAGTAAAAGACCTCAAGCAAAGTGATTCTAAAATGGAACATTTATGAAATTATAGTGGTTTTTGGTAAAAGACATAAGAGAAGCCTGATAGCTGCCTGAGTTATGTTAAATGACAGTGGGACAGTATGCCTATACCCAAAAAGATGTACAGTATAACCTCATGAATCTGGTATGCTTGGGACTGAGCACCTGCTGGAAGTGTGAAAATTTCTGATTTTTGAAACCGGAGCGGTGGATGGCGGTGGCAGCCTCCGTGTGCAAGCTTCCCCTTCCGCTGCTCCGGGACTGGTTGCTGCTACTTCCCAATGGAATGTAGTTTTAAAAAGTGCTGGATTTTCGCTAATTCTGGATTTTTGATATCCAGATTTATGAGGCTATACTGTATAAAGAGGCATTTTATATTTGGGCACTATTGGGATCTGAAGGAATTTTAGCTAACTGAACTTTGAACCACGTCTAAATTAAATATATTCTTTTAAGTGTGTTAGAAACTATTTTCAATAGAAATCCAAAGTATGTAGGGTAAGGAAGAACTGAAGTGCCTCTGTTAGTGGTTGCTATGTTACAGTGGTATGAAGGATAGAGTTGAGTCACTCCAGAAATATACTATGCATCCTGAGCAATAAGTGAATAGTAATCAGTGGTGTCTGCTACTTGAAATTATATTTCAAAGAATGATTTATGATTAATTTAATATGGCATGTTTTCTAGTGTAAAAAGTACAGAGACCAATTCACAGATCAACAGAAACTGGTATATGAAGAAAAACTGGAAGCCAGTGAACTTTTCAAGGACAAGAAGGCTTTATACCCAGCCAGGTAATGAATTATTTTGGTAACATAGCTCATAGCATAAGATTAAATACTATATCCTCGCATAGATTTAGGAGAAAATTTAGTTTATCCTAACCGGTAGAAATTGCCATCTGTTTGTGGACCTTTGTAAACTCTAATGACCATTCTGATAATTTGTAGTGTATGTATCATTGGCTTGATGAGCAGCAACTCTTCCATGATTTTGTTGTTATTTTCATTGAGCAAAATCACCTTGCTACTTGTTACCAGAAACCAGCACATTTTGTTACTGTACGTTCCAAGACTGTTTGCAAATACAGCTGGGTCCTATGCAGGGGCCAAGAGCACAAATACAGGAGAAAGGTGTGTCCTCTATACAGTAAATAGGAAAGGAAACCGGCTACCTCTTCCTTCTTGGCTTAGATGGTAGTGTTTTTTACAAGTAACCTCAGAGGAAGAGGAAAGGATATACACAGGCAGTGACAATCCAGAGGCAATGAAGAAGGAGCTTGCCACACAACACAAACCCCAGTCACTCAAATTCTACATGGCGAGGGTAACAGGAAGAGTCTACTACTTTGTCCCATCTCCAGCAACAGCCAGTGATGGACTGGTTGCTTTAAAACCTCCGGTTGTGTAATACCTGTTGGCAATGATTTTTTTTTCAGCTCTGTGCTAATACAAACAAAAGCAGCAAACAAAAATAGTTTCTGCTGACAGGTTTGCATAGTTTGCTTTTCAAATTTAACTGATGCTGTATTTTCATAAGCAGTTCTGTATGTCTTATGTTAGTACAAAGACTGGGTAATTTTACAGTTACACATGTAAGAGATGCTTTTAAATAGTTAAACCTGAAAGCTACATTTGTGTAGGTATTTGTTTCTATTCCAAAGCTTTTTTCTATTCAGACAGATTTTAGATTGATTAAAAATTATACACCCTAAAATTCTCTTCTCAATGTCTCAGATAGATAAAGGCCTGAAATATCAACATTTCTGAAAACTTCTGTGATAATGCTGCCTGTGCAGTTAATATTGCTTAAGTGGCTGCAGCAGCGGTTTATGCAGTTATTTGAGTGGTTAATATATTTTTCTAGTGCAGTATAAATGACCGAGTCAGGTTTAGGTATCTTTAAAGAAGTTGAATTGGAATTTAAGACGAGTGGAACTGAGACATGGAGCTGTTTCAGTAGAAGCAGCTTGAGTGTCTTGGAGAACACCAATTGAAGCAAAAATGATTCATGGGAGAAAGTTTAGAATATTGTAGGAAAGATATATTTGCTATATTTTTACAAATATAAACTGTTCTTAAATTAGGCTTGTACTTTGAGAATTCCAGTTGTTTCATGGTAATGTTGTGCTGTCCTTGTTTTAGTAGTTGAACATCACGTCTTATGCATTGCTCTATAATTTCTGCCATGACTCATAACATCAGGTATGGGCTTCTTTGTAATATTTAAAATAAATAGGACTAAGTAGAGTCCAAATCTTGCATAGAGATAAAAAAGCAGTTGTGAGGTACCCAACTGTAACGGGGGGGCCTGCTCAGGGTCTGTCTGCTGGTGGCCTCCCACCCCCACCTGTTATGGGCCAACCACCCGCCTTCTCTCCTGCCAAGCCTTGTTGTTAATTAATTGTCAAAGACTGCCCATTGTATTCCCCGGATAGGATTCCCCGGAGTCTGCCCATTGTATTCCCAGGGGGCGCTATCTGCGGCTCCATTCCTCCCCTACACCGCAGCCCAAGCCTCGCAGATAGTATTTGTAAATTCCTCTTCATGTTGGAGGTCTCAGCCGCTGTGGGCCTACCCCTTTTCTCTCTAGCTAGGCCTGTCAGTCAAAAAAAACCCCCACTAATCAGGGTTTGACTCCCAGGCTCTAATTCTCAAAAAAACCCCAAAAACAAACAAACCCCCAAAAAACAAAAAAACCCCTCACTCAGGCTCCTGTCCCTCTCTGGCACTGGATTCAGCTCACCCCTGAATACTGCACCCTATCTGGCACTGGGGTCTCCACACTTCAGTGGGTCCCCAGTGAGGCCTCCTCCTTCCCCAAATAGCCTCACCCAAACCACCAGTCTTAACATTCAACACAAAACATAGGCTTCTAAGGCCATATAATGGAAAAATGATAATAATAGAGAAACAAGAGAGGCAACATGCCTGCTTACTTCAGATGATCATGGGGATGGCTCAGAGCGTGGCGTAGTCTTCTGACAGAGACTGCAGCCACAGCACTGTGGTCATTAGGAGTCCACCTCTCTGCTGCCCCTCTGGCCTTCTCCACTTGCCATTTGTAGGGTCCCGGCCTTCCTCTTCCTGTCACGTGACCGGCTGGCAGGGCTTGAGCCTTAACCCCTACTTGACCTGCCGGCCGTGACTGGAAGGTTCTGGACTTAAAGGGACCACCCTGTCTCTTAGTAACAGGGTTAGGGTTCCCTCTTACATGAACTCTTTAAAAAAAAATGGAGCCTATGACAAATTTGAGAGTCAGCTTGGATGTTTTAGGTAGGGGAGATCCTGCCATGAGCTGGGGTTAGACTAATGACCTCCTGTGGTTTTCTCCAGCCTTATTTTTCTATGTTCTTGTATGGTGAACACCACGAAAATATATATTTTACAAACTTAATGGAGGGAGTGCATCAAACTGTAGATACCTGTGCATATAGTACTGGGGACTGCTGTATGTCTTACAGCAACATTGCAAACCCTACACTAGGATATGAATGTTAGAGGATTTAAATTTCAGTGTTTCGTATATTTTTATCCTTTAATAGTGTTGGACAGCCGTTCCAAGGGGCTTACCTGGAAATCAGCAAAAACCCAAAGTACAAAAAACTCAAAGATGCGGTGGATGAAAAGATCATCATTGCTGAAGTTGTGAATAAAATCAATAGAGCTAATGGGAAGGTAATCAAATAGAACTGTTTCACTTAGAAGGACATTTTGACATAATGGTTTTTGTTTTAAGTGAACATATAGGGTGGTTGCTTTTTTGTTTCAACTTACTCTGAAGGTAATAAAATACCCATTTGAAGGTACTTTCAGGAGGAGTGATTTAAATGACCAGTTTTAATCATGATACACATACTCTTTACTCTATTTTAGTCTGATTTTTGCATTTGTAATTTGGAACATTTTTACTAAAAAGAGGTTGATTCTCACTGATTAGTAACCATTAAGCCATGTTGATTTGCAGTTAAATTTAGCCTTTACCTTACATTTGATACTACTTTTTGCTAATCAAGAGATTAAATTACATGCACATTTTAAGCAAATTAATAGATTAACAGGAATTTAATACTTATTTTATTTTGTAAGAAAATAGTGAATGAGATTTTTATTTACTAGATGATTAATGTTTTTCATTGTATGTTAAACTGCTATTGGGTAGAAACTGGAATTCAATTAAATGTAAAAAACTAGCCAGTTAAAATGACAGTTCTAACAACTAATACAAATTAAATGTGGTAGATATTGTATATTTTTAAAAGCAGTTATTAAACAAAAGAATTATTAATGGCAGTTACTGACTAGAACTGTTTGTTTTTGTTACTGTATGCTTAAAATTTTAGAACTAGTTTTAAAACTAATCTTAGCTTCTCATATTTATCTTTGATTGATAGACTCGCTTTCTTCCTTTTTAGCTTCCAGCCTTGAGTTAACCTAACTGAGCTAAACTGACAAGAGGAAAATACCCTCTTTGTATCTGTGGATAAGGCTAGAACTGAAGATAAAACTTTAGAATTATTTTTGGAGTACTATATTTTATAATTTTCAGGAATCTTTGATACTTAAAAAAGTACAGTCTTGCACTATGACAATAGCTGCATGTGTCCATAGTTCTTCACAACACAACACAATATTTAAAAATGTATAATTCATATATAATAAAATGCTTCTCAAGTAAATGGTTTGTGTAATGTAATATTTAAAAATGTATATACCCTAGGCTTAATCCTTTATGTATTATGCATCCAGAATTTAGATTGAATTCAGTGGACATTGACAGTGCATGGGGAATATATAATCAGGGTCATTCTGATTTTTGTTTCATGTATGTATGTATGCTGAATTTTTATTTTTAGACTGTACAACTATATGCATGTAACTTAGATTGTGATTTACATAATAGTCGGGCTAGAATGAAGAAACCAAGTTTTTAATGTTTTTAGGTTTCTGAATCCAGTCTCATAAATAAGTGACCTAGTTTTCAGTGGGGCTAATAGAACTGCAGGACCCACTGAAATTTTAAAACAGGTTTAAAAATCTGGGCCGGTGCTCTTAACTTGATGAACCTTTGCTCTTTCAATCAGATACTGTGTGAAGGCCTCATCTGTGTGTTTATATTGCTAACTTTTTTTTTTTTTTTTGCAGGCTACATCCAGGATTTTCTTGCTAACAAACAGTAATGTCCTCCTTGCTGATCAGAAGTCTGGAAATATCAAATCAGAGGTTCCTTTGGGAGATGTTACTAAAGTATCCATGAGTTCCCAAAATGATGGGTTTTTTGCTGTGCACCTCAAAGAGGTAGAATTTAACTTTAAATTAAATGATAAAGCGACTTAGCAGAAGCACAGTCTATTTCAGTGTTAGATTTAAGACCATGTAGGTTTAAGACAGATGTACAAAAGGCTCCATAGTTGTGAAACAGTGGATTTGAACTTACCAAAACCCAGTAGTGCAGTTGCTAATTCTTGAGTTATTTATTTATGAAAATAAGACGTCATATTTTGCTTGAGTTTTCTCAATTTTATACTCTTTCAATGAGATAAATGGCCCCATGTTTTGTGTTTTATTCACACTTAAATTTCTGCTTTTCTCCACTCCTTTTATAACTTTCCTTGATTCTTGTGTGTCACTGAAATATGACATTAGCCCCAGTGTTTCTTTCCTGTTTAGAAAAGATCAGGGTAAATGGCTTACCTGTGTTTTTCTTCAGACGTCCATTAATGTCTACTATATACTTTTTAAAAAGCATGTATTGTTATTTTATCTTTTGATTATGTACTTATTCCAGGTTTCTGCATTTGCTGGTAATTATTTTACCATTCAAGCTTTCTGGGATGTCAAAGAAATCAACATTATTACATAACTAATTTGGCTGCCAATTTAAAGATACAGTTTAGGGTTTTTTTTCTCTTTATTGTTTATATTACCTCTTAAAATCCATTAAGCCAGCCTTTGTTTTGTTTCATAAATGGAGTTGACATTATCCCAGCTGTTTTGTTAAACAGATTCAATTTATCTAGTGCCTTGCCATATGAAAATATTCGCTTGTCTGCCGATACCATCAGTTGGTATCTGTTCCCTCTGTGAGAATAGCACGATTTGTTGTGGTACAGGCAGCAGAGGGAGACTAAAATAATAATTTTTTGTGGGATGTACAAAAGTAAGTGGCTTTTTTTTTAGGAGCAAAGGGAAACTTAACATGCTGTTTAGAAACCCAAGGGACTTTCTTATTGGATATTAAGGTTGGGTTATATTTTAAGCTTAAACTTGGACTGTATTTCTTTTTAATTTAGAAGAAAATAGGCTGCAGGTTGTTGGTGGTAGAAAGCATTCCTGTTAACCTTGTTTAGTGGTATGTTTTGCTGGTGTTTAATACTGCTTTTTTAATTATGGGAGGATGGCATATGAAAAATGGCTTTTGAAACATACTATATAAATAGTGCAGCATTTTTCTGAGTATTCTTGGCAATTAGAACTAAGTTTCTTTCTGTTTCAGGGCTCAGGAGCAGCTGGTAAAGGGGATTTCCTGTTCAGCAGTGATCACCTTATTGAAATGGCCACCAAGCTTTACCGTACCACTCTCAGTCAAACCAAGCAGAAGCTCAACATTGAGATTTCCGATGAGTATGTTTATTTTTTTGTATTTCCTTCAGAGCAGCATTGTAGTAGCTTTGTGTGTCAAGATTGTAATACTGGAAAAAGAAAGCATTGTGCAACTGGTAACTGAATAGTAGTGTGTAAACATGGATTCCAGCTTTGGGTCCTTTATTTCTGTGACACTCACTATGGAAATACTTTTTAAAAATGCATTTCAAATGAATGTAAATTTGAGAAAAATTTGAAAACAATAGCATCTACCTGTTTTTTCTTAATATAGTAGCAAAATCCCTTCTAGTATACTCCACCCTCACTTCACATTTTCTTCACATCTGAAAGAATTAAGACTGTTCCCAATAAGGGTCAGTTTTACAGTATCGGATGGAGAGGTGAATGGTATCAAAATCTAGTTCCTGTGTGTGGCTTGGAATGTTTAAGGCACTTATTTGATCTTCTGTCTGAGGTTGTCAGTTATCTTTCCTGCTAACAACCTAAATCCTTTCGGAGACTTCCAGTCTTCATTGTGTATGCTTTGTCTTCTTGGAGATTAAAACCCCTCAGGCATATGTTATGTTTTGCATTTACCCACACTGAATAATTTAACAATTTTTAGCAGTTCCCTCCCCATTGATGGTGAGAAATTGTTCCACGGTTCCTTTTGCAATGCAAACTCTAAAAACACAAGCACACTTAGGAGTTGCAGAAAAACACAGCCTCACTCTATCTGCTGTGTACTGCTTTTTGAGAAGAGAGTAGAAGTAGACAAGCATACCACATACATGAGGTTTTGATTAGTTGAGGGTGCTAACTTTCCATTGGAGTACCTTTACATTCATAGATTTAATTGGAATAATGCTGCAGGGCTAAGGCTAACTGAACCAATCAGTTGTGTCAGTTGGTTCAAGATTTAATAGGGCTGCCTTTCCTATTATATTGTTACTGTTGTCAGCAAAACTCTCACCAGATATGAAAAACCAACCACTAGGGATTGTTCCAGGAAGTCAGAATGTCAAGGAAAGTGCAGCCTTGCTGACAGCCTGTGAATATAGGGGCTAATGGTATTTTCTGAATGCTTTGTGGCTGGGAGCTCTGAGCAAGTGACTCTGTAGGGTCTGGGATTGTATAACAGGAAAGATGCATTGAAAAGAAGCTCTGCAAAGCAGTCGC